GTTATACATAAACACTTCCATGTCAGGTGGTACAACCAATGAAAAATCTAGGGCACCCTTAACTTTTCATAAAATTCATTACTTCTTTTAAAAGTTGTATGTATTATATAGTTGTCCAACTAAAAGCACGTTTGAATTGAAAATAGTTGCCAAAGGCCGGAGGTGCAACTGAAAGAAATGCAACTGAATGAAATAAAATCTTTTAATTTAAAGCCGTAGTATTGTACATTAAATTTAGGGACTTTTAATTCTTCACAGGAATGCGGTTTCTTTTTTTTTTTTCTTTTTTTTTTTGCCTGTCCCGTTTGGCTCTTTTGCCATCAGAATTGTTGTCTAAAGGCAAAGAAAGATGCCCAACGGGTTTACTTTACCAAATTGACCATCCCAGCCTTGCCGTAATGGTCCATTTGATTCACCTTTTATTGTTTATTTTATTTTCACTTACTGAATACGGGACAGACTTGACTGGGGGAAAGAAAGAGGGAAAGAGAAACAGCTGAGAAGAGGGACGGGGGAGAAGGGCAAAAAACACAAACCAACAGAACGGGCAGGAAAAAAAAAAGAAAAAAAATGCATATATCAATCACCTGGGTCACCGGCTGAGAAAGAAAAAAGAAAACAAGCAGAAGAGAACAAGAGTAATAGAATAAACAGCATCACAATGATATACGGGAATATGACAGTAAATGCTAAATATTAAACATTATTGTGCAGCACATAAGATCAACAGAACACAGTGTGCTTTGAGGTAGGAGCCAAAAAGGGTGTAGTTTGTGGGTGTGATCACCCGTGGTACACCTGTGAGCATGGACGCGCTTGTTTTTTTTAAAAAGGTTCCTTCATGTAATGATCTGCTAGAGGGTGTGGGGGGGCCACAGCCCCGTCCTCCAGGGCATGAAGCAGGTATGGAGGAGATCAAAACTCCAGACATCCAGAGGCCCCCAGAGGAATGCGGTTTCTTTTATCGTGTACTTCGGGTGGAATTCAAGATGATTGGACATGAGGATGAAGGTACAATATAATTAGGCAGGATTTAGTTTCTCACTTAATCAATGTGGGTTCTTTGAACTAATTAAAATATTGTCACATCTTTGTGTTAATTGCAGGAAATGCACTGACTAAACAAAATTATTTATTTTTTGTAAGTAAAATGCCCTTTTAAATGTGCAGATATGTGTGAGGACAAAAGCTCCCTTCTTGTGTTTTCATTTTTCTGAACTAACAAAAATGCTCATCGCAGTCTAACTGTGTTCTTTCATGTTGTCTCTCACATTAGTTTGAATCTCCTGGATAGCTGGGATTGAGTTTGCATGTGCCCTGTGTGCCTGTATGGCTTTCCTCTAGGTACTCGGGCCTGCTCTCAGAGTCCACAGTCATGCACATTAAGTTAATTGATACTAAACTGGCTTTGGACCTGGCATACAGTAGGTTCTGTACCTCGGGAAGTGCTGTACCAATGAGTGCTTACAAGTGGCTTGTAGTGTAGAGTGCTTTGAGTCAGAATGGGGCCCTTTCAAGACTAATGAAAAGTTTGGTGGCCTGAATAAATCTGCTACATGACTGAACTATGATTTCAAAAACCAGTGGATACTCTCCGATGCCCCTTTTTGCATCTGGTGCACAAGTGGATCAATGACCTCACCACACCCTGGGGTAATGGACTGTGAGCGCACAAGATCTTTGACCCATATTTTGCAACTTCCGAGTGTAGTCATTACTCTAAAACTACACCCTATGGACAAAAGTACTGAGCCACCTCCACATTACACCTACAGGTGTTTCTCGGCCATGGGAGCCCTGAACCACCCATGAAGCACTTGGCGCACACGCTTTGTTCTGATGTTAATGCCATCAACACAAATAGTGAGTGGTGATAGCACTGGAGCTCTGCAGTTATTGGGTCAGCGGAGCTATTGCTGACCTTTACACACTATGTGAATCAGCACTTGTCGAGCCCACTCTGTGACTTTCCTTGCCCTGGTGCTCTGTGGATGAGTTGCTGTGGTTCCTCAACACTTCCACTCTGAAATTATGCCACTTACAGCTGTTCATGAAATATCGAGGAGCTCTGTAGAATGAGTGATTGTTTACAAATGTTTGTAAAGCCAGACTGCATGGAAAGGGTGTTTGGTTTTGTACATCTGTGGCAATAGGACTGCAAGCACCTGAATTCAATGATTAACAGGTTATACTTCTGTCCATAGTGTAGCTGCACAAGATGATGAATGACCTCTTCTGAGTGCCAAAGAAAGAAGAAGAATACTTTCTGAAGCTTGATCTCATAAGCTCATTCACTCCAAAGACAGTGTCCTCCTCATTGACACTGGTTATGTGATTGCTGCATAAGTACTTTTCTGGCATGGTTCGGGTCCACTCGGAGAGAAGGATTACTGTAAATTAAATTAGCACACAGTTCTGAATAACAACCTTTATCCTGTGCTGATTTTTTTTTCTAGTGAGACAGAAATGTTCATAAATTACAGTTGTTTGATGAGTTTGAAAAGGACATGACTCATACATATCTTATGTCCTTTGAAGCACCATATTGAATATTTTGGAGCAGCATGGTAGATTTTGATGTCCATCGCACTCCATCAACAAAGGACAAAGGAATAGTGTTTTTAATCGCCTAGCAGAGTTTTTCAAAGTGACCTTAGGAAACATTAAAGCAGTTTGAAAATAGCAGTAAAGCCACCAGTTTTTCAAATTGCTATTCCTGGTGGGGTACAGCCAGCATTTCTACAAAGGAGTGAAAATGTGTGAAAGGTTGATAACATTTCTAGTATGCCACCCTATATATTACAGATAATACATAAATCACATGACTTTAAGCTGCTTTTAAAATCTACTCTCAAATCTACCTTTCCCACCAGTTAAATAGTCTGACTTTTTTTTGGTCATTTCAGTATTTATTTTTAAATTATTTCTCGCATACACTGTTCATTCAAACTATTATAACCCCCCCCCCCCCCCCAACATTTCTATTGTAGATAGATTTTTAAAAACTGTATTTAATTGGTATTCTTTATTTATTACCACTACTAAACTGGTGTAGTATGGATGGCAATGGTGGCGGTCTTAATCAGTACGAAACGCTATAAAACCTATAAAAACACAGGAGAAGTCCAAAATCTATCCCTCCTCTCTCATTTTCCAAAGCCATCCAATGGGTTAGGGCAGGGTTAGGCAACCTTTCTGATGAGGAGTGCCATCTAAAATTTCCTCAGAGGTCAGTGTGCCATATGTTTGCATTAGCAATAAATTTAATAACGCTCTATATTAACGGTTACACACTATATAGAACCACTTTATAGAATTATATTTGTTCGCAGATGTTGGCAGCTATCAGCGAATAGTTATCAGCTATTTTGAAACAAAAAAAAGACACTTTATCCATAACAAGTACTCCATAACAGCAAATGAACTGTACAACAGAAAATGCAAATGATATTTATGGTGTCCTCACAACAATGATAAGAAAAATAATGGCATGTCTGTTAATACACTCTGATCTCTGGTCTCCCACTCAGAGACACAGGTCTCCAAGTGTCCAGCATTCAGACGGCTACCTGAGGACACTCATGTGAGAGAAAATCTGCTCACACAGATATGTAGAGCCAAATACTGTCAATAAGGCCTCTGCAATGTTCTGAAGACAGTTAAACTTGTCAGGTAGTGATGTCCAGCAGGTGAAAATGCAGCTCCATGAACACGCACAGCTGTGGATTCCAGCTGCTTCGATGTTATATGTATGATTTCTATACATTTTACGTCAGATAAAAACTTTGGTTGTAAGCTTCAGATAATTATTTAATAAAAGCTAGACATTTTAAATGAGAAATAAGAAAGTATTTCTTTGTGCCCCCTTTCCCTGTTAATGCCCTACCTGGCCCCCTGGCAAAACTTTGCTAGACCCGCCCCTGCACAGTTACCAGCTGTCAGCTACTAAAAAAGGATCCTGGTGTTATTTGTCTCTCAGAAACAGTTCATAACTTCCCTTCAACTCATTCATGTCACCTAAAAGGTAAACCTGTTTCTCCATCACCTGTTCAGCTCTGATGAGCTTTGTGTCTCTTTCCATTCTAGCTGAAGTCCGGGACAAACTGTCCCTTTTCACTCAACACAAAACGCGTAATATTTCCTCTGATGTCGGGACGATTCCGTCTTTTACGGGACGGTTGGCAACTCTACTAACTAACCTTGATGAATTAAATAAAGTTCAACATCAGTAACATCAAAGCACCCACCCAGCTGTATAGAAACTCCGTCATGCTAGCTAGTACGCAGTATGAGTTATTGTAACTGACTGTAAAAAGTCAGCACAACGAAATCTGACCCAGATAGACTGCAGGTCATAACTTCTTACCTGAAGTTCAGTTCACCTGACACTCGGCCGGCGGCTGCCTCGGGGCTCTCCTCCTGCCTCCCCTTTCTCTCATCCACCTGCTGGCCTCCACCACGTTGCTAATTTACTGAATCTGAGGAAGCACCGCATAGCCACCACCAAATAACTGAGTTATTTTTACACACCGACCAGCATCTGGCCAATCCACCACCTTTCATTGTTTATACCGTTACAAAGAAAAAAAAAGTCACCGGGCCACCGAGCAAATGCCCAGTATGCCGGATGGCCAGTCCAGCTATGGTCGTGCCATCAGTTAACCCTTCGCGTGCCAACTGTGGCACGCGTGCCTAGGGATGCCGACCCCTGGGTTAGGGTCTTCGCCGGGTCGATTCTGTCCCTGCCTTGTGTTTAACACCCTTGCTTTAACTAGTTCGGGGGCACGGGAGACTGAAGCCTTTCCCACCTGTCATAGAGAAAGAGGCAGGGTACATCCTGGACAGGTCGCTGTGTTGACATTAAAAAGCCATGATTGCCCATTCCTGATTGGAGACGATGAGGTCTTATTTGCCTCCTTCTGATTGGATAATCGAGGCAGAGTGACTGTGTAAATGAACCAATGAGAGGCTGCCACACTGTGGTTATGAGAGTTTTCGCAGCCTGTGTGAAGGGCTACACCGCCTCCATTCCTTTCTCTTTCTCTATCGACCAGTCTGCGCTTGGCCTTGTCTGAGGAGCTCGCATCCTTGGCTTTCCCCTTGCAGCACAGCTGAAGAGGGGCGCTTCTACAGACCCCATCTGCATCCTAAAACCGTTCTGTGTAACTAAAGGACTCAGTAAGCGCCGTGTGCGATGTTGAGACTCATCTTTTTGGCCGCTCTCGCCGGGTTCTCTCGAGCCAGTGATGTGCTTGAGTACACGGATGACGATTTCGAAAGCAGGATCGGAGACCATGAGCTAATTCTCGTGGAGTTCTTTGCCCCTTGGTGAGTCTTGTCACATGTTTTCTCCGAAGTATCAGAGAAATTTGCATAAGTGAAAAACGCGAATCCTAGCTTACTCTCTTTGCGGTTAACAGTTGAGCGGTACCCACTTGCAGAACTCTCAATATCGTGGATGTCAGTGGGGAATTTCGTTTGGTCGGAAACGTGCAATTAATTGTGCAAACTGCATCGCTGTTTGTTGCTAACTTTAATGGAGGCAGAACTGTCAAATTCGCTCGCTTCTTGGCGTAGGACCAGGCATTAGCATGTTAGCTATTAGTCGAAAGGCACAGGCTAATTCGCTATGTGTTTTGCGTTTTATTTTACGTCGCATTTTAAGAGGTGCTGCAGTTTAGTGGCACACTGAAAATGTTACCTTAAACAGTGACTAACTAGTCGTATTTTAACTCCGCTTAGTTTCCGGTTTTTAAAAAAAAAAAAAAAAAATTATGTGCGAATGAGGCTGAGGAAGTTGGGGGTGTGTCCATTCATTGTTGTAACCTTCTGATTGGCCAGGAAAGTTTTGGTGTCCACCTGGGATTGGCCCAGAAGAAATGTGACGTGTACCCTTGTGCTAAACTTGAATAAAATAAAAAATGTTACAGTATTCGCTTATAATAAAGCACTAACGAGTACATTTTCTGCTGTCTGGTCTGCTGTCTTTTCAAACTCTGTAATTGTTTGAAAAAGGCAAATATTCACAAATTTTTATGAAGATTTAATATTTAGTCTTGGTTTTATTTTCTCAATATAATCTAAACCTTTGGGTTTTCGACCTACAGAAAACTCAAGCAATATTATAATAATGGTCTGTCTTATATTAAGGACAACTTTTATATAGGTACCTGAGAAAACATGAAGCACAGCTGTAACAATATGTGGCTAATTAAATCTTCAGTACATTTTTCATGTTTTTGCTTGTACTTACACCTGTTTCCATTTATTCAAACATAGTTAGGTTGCATCATCAGATTCCACTAGGAAGACTTGAGGTCTTCATCTGGCTAGGCCCTAAAGTTTTTTGTTTTTGTTTTTTTGCTTGTTTGACTAATCCATATCTTCTGACTTTAGGTGTGGCCATTGTAAACGTTTGGCACCTGAGTACGAGGCAGCAGCCACACGTTTGAAAGGCATCGTCTCACTGGCCAAGGTACTGCACAACACAGATCACTTAACTTTGTCCACTTCAGTGTGGCTTCTCTGCACTCTGAACTGCAGTGCTCTGTGTCTCATCGAAAAGTGAGAATAATTTGCTTTTCTGCTTAGGTTGACTGCACTGCCAACAGCAACATATGCAGCAAATATGGCGTCAGTGGCTACCCAACCCTCAAGATCTTCAGGGATGGCGATGAATCTGGTCCCTATGATGGTCCCAGAACTGCAGGTATTGCCCTCATGTCTTTTAGCACTGGAAGATCTGAGAGTTAGGTTTAACTTGGCGTTCGATCTGCCTCTTGGAGGAATTCTTTATATGTGAAAATGATATCCTTAGTGGGATGAGGGCTATGTGGAGAGGTAACTAAAGGATACAGAGTTTTCCACAACACCAGCTTTAAAGGTAAAGGAACAAGACATGGCTAACAGTGACGGAATTTTCAACATAAAATTCATACAAATGGAACCTCGTATACAAAAGAGCATAACGTTCGTACTCTGTTAAGCTGAACTTTCAAGATAAAACCAGCAAGTTTTCTACCACAGGAGATGTGAATTGATCTCTTTGCCACATCACCCACTCATTCAGTTTGTTTGCATCTTAAATCGGTGTACAAATGAGCAGGCGACTGGTCCTGTGGCTCTTTGTTGTCTTTTTGCATCCTTCTCACCTCACTACTTCTGTTTGCAGATGGGATTGTCGGCTTCCTGAAGAAGCAGGCTGGTCCAGCTTCTGTGGTGCTCAAGGATGACGCAGACCTAGAAAAGTTTCTTGCAGATCAAGATGCAAGTGTTGTTGGTAAGCATCTAGTTAAGGAAACTTTTCTAAAGGTCTTTTTAAAGCTCTTCACTAGTAACATTCTTCATAATTTAAAGTTTAGGGTATTTTATGTTACTCACTTTTTGTTCAGACACTATTGCCGCTTTTTGCTGCTGATATTGAATCCTGGTCTGACTGACCATTCCTTCCCAGGATTCTTTGCTGATGACAAGAGCCAAGAACAGGCTGAGTTCCTGAGGGCAGCGAGCGCCTTGAGGGACAACTACCGCTTCGCCCACACAAACTCTGAGGCTCTCCTCAAAAGCCATGACATTGAGGGAGAGTGAGTAGATCTCTTTAGACATCTCTCACCAAACCATTTAAAAATAACACTATTGCACATTTGGTCTCACCTTTGTATCTGCTGTTAGTGAAATATTTCTCTCTCGGCTTACAGGGGAGTCGTTTTGTTCCGTCCACCCCAACTCAACAACAAGTTTGAAGACAGCTCGGTCAAATTCAGTGAGGATAAATACACCAGCAACAAAATCAAGAGATTCATCCAGGACAACATGTGAGTCCTGCTTTTTAGAAGAGACACTTTGTAGAGGCATCAAAATAATCAGTCTATAAATAGTTGATCTGTTTAGGATTAAATACGAAGTCAATTTTCATTCAAAGGTACATATTTACAAGTTTGGCCCAGTGCCAACAGGATCTTGTTTGGTAGGCAGTTGTCCTCTCGGGACACAGTTCAGTTCTGGCAGTAGCAAAGAGTTTGGCACTGAATAAATATTACTTCATAGTAAATTGGCCTCAAAGTGTAATAAAACCAGTAGATAATTGAATCTTCAGTTAAAGGAAAAAATGATTTTGTGACCCGTTGTGTAATCAGTCTTGAAGGGGATCAGCTAAGATGGAAACTCTGCTGTTTGAGATCTTGTTTATATTCAGAGTGTGAGTTTGACCTCAACCCACTTTATAAAGTACATGCAGATGATCCAGGCAGATATGTTTTGTTGCCCCCCCCCCCCCCCCCAAACATGGTTTTATTTGTATAATTCTGAAGCTCATTAACATAAAACTTTGTTTTTTTTTTAATGGTTTTTTAAATATGTTTGAACTGTCCCTTCAGTTTGAATATTTAAAGGGAAATCATGCTCGTTCTAGCTTTATATATACTATTGGATTTTGGTACTAGAGTAGCTTTGCATGATTCACATTTCAAAATGGGCTTTAATTATCCTATCTGGGGATCTAGATCTCCTTTATTTCAGTTCTGTCTGACACAAGCAGATTCAGTTGGTCTCCCTTTTAAGCAAGCCTTTTTGTGATTGGCTCTCCTTGCAGAGTTTGAACTGCAGGTGGGTGTAGCTGCAGAAACCTGAGAAAGGTTTAAGGGTATCCACTTAAACTGACATCAGAGAGAAGAAAAGAATGCACCTGAAAGTGGTTTAGCGCAAGCTGGTGTTCAGATATGCACCTCCACCACTGCAACAGCGTAACAGATAATAGGGACTTGATATGGGTTTTATTTTGGGTAATAACTTTGACATTTGACGCACCTGCAGAGAGCAGTTGTTTGCTTATCTCCTCCGCGTGGTTTACAAGTGCTCCTGCTATAACCAGTCTACACATGTAGTGTTTTTGTTTTTTGTTTTTTAACCCAAGCCCATGTGCACACAATGCAGGATACTCCTATTTATTTGTTATTTCATTTTGCTTCAGCATCACAGATTTGGAGGCTAAACTCAAAGCTCTACTTTGTTTTTGTTTTTTTTTGTTTTTTTGTGTGTGTTCTTTGTTTTTCTCAGCTTTGGATTCTGTCCCCACATGAATGACAACAACAAGGACCAGCTGAAAGGGAAGGACCTTCTGGTGGCTTATTATGATGTTGACTATGAGAAAAACCCTAAAGGCTCCAACTATTGGAGGAACAGGTAGGTGTTTGGGGGGGAAAAGCTCATTTAAGGTTTGTGGTGTTTTTCTGTTTCTGAAGCTGCCGTTTCCCTGCAGACTTTAAATCTGCACTGTGCAGAGATGGCTGATTCTCAGATCGATCTTGAATATCATAAGTTTTGTTTTCTGTTAGTACAAGACCATGCACCTCCCCTTTGGCAGTTAGCCACATGCTAAGAAACGAAAATGAGACCAGATCTTTCTGTTTTTTTAATACCTTAATTTAATCCTCCACAGTATTATCTTTGTTTTTGGCAGCATGATTAAAAACCATCTTGGCATCTTTCAGGGTGATGAAGGTGGCAAAGGGCTTCCTGGATCAGGGCAAGAAGCTGAACTTTGCTGTAGCTAACAAGAACATGTTCAGCCACGAGTTGTCTGAGTTTGGCCTGAATCCCAGTGGCGAACTGCCTGTGGTGGCCATCCGCACCGCCAAAGGAGACAAATACACCATGGCTGAGGAGTTCTCGTAAGTCCAGGACAACTTTTCAACACAATTCCCCACCAGTGCACACACACATCATGTCACAAGTTGCTAGTTGGATTTAATAGAACCCTTGCTACATAGAGTATAACTCTAAACAGTGTAGTTTTGTGATGGTGTGGCAAAACTGTATAAAAACTGGACACCAAATATGTTATGAAATAAATGGAGTAATCTGGGAATATAATGAACAAGACTGCATGTAATTGCCAATTTGACCCCCATTCAGTTACAGATGGTAGCATTTGGGGACTGTGTTTAAGCTCGGTTTCATTTGCAGCATATCTGAAGTAAGAAATTGACCTTATTGGATAAAACTGATATTGACAAAGTTTAAACTTTAAAATTTATATTTAAGAAAAGGTGATATCACAGTATTTATTGCACAACTCGCCTTATCACAAAATGTATAAATGTGGTGATTAGGGATGGGTACCGGTAGTAACCAGACGGAAAAGCAGCGCACATTTCGGTGCTTTATTTCAGTGCTTTTTTTTTTCCTGAGCTGTGATACACTTTAGATTCTAGCCAATCATTTTACGTTTCCGAGGATAGTAGGCGGGAGGTCACGTACGTTCTTTTAGAGCAGAGCTACAGATTAAAAATGCCCAAGGCGAAGCGGTCAAAAGTCTGGCTGTACTTCACAGCAAAATATGCAAACTCAGCAGCCTGCAACAAGTGCTTTAAGATGATACTGTGATACTGTCAAAGGAGGTAACACCTCAAATCCGATGAAACACCTGGCGACGCATAGCGTTTTTTAAAAGCCGAGAAATGCGCCGTATTTGATAGCTTGCTGCGAGACTCACACCGTGCACATCTACTGCGGGTGGGTGCTGCTATCGGACCCGGAGTTTGCAACATCCCCCAAAAACCCGAAGAGTAGAGTCCTGGCCCCTAGCCCTGCCAGTGTAGCAGAAATGATGAGGATGATGATGGCAGCAGCAGCCGTTCTTCTCTGGCGTCGAGTAGCTTAATGTTGTTCGTGTGTAATTTACGTTGAGTAGGCTAACCACGTTATTACATTAATGCATGTAAGGTGAACTAGCAAACATCATCATAGCTACATGCGGCTGTCTTCTTGTTTGATGGCAGATACTCCCTTCACCCTGGCCAAAAAGGCTAAAATGACCAAAGAAAAAGTGGAAAACAGTAAACATGAGAGGTTTTTGGACAAAGTTTGTGTTTTTTCCATTGTTTAAGCACTGCTTCCAGCCAAGAGTGATACCATATATGCCCCATAGCTGCAGAAAAGGCTAACATTGTTATCTTTTTACAAAAAACCAGCTGAACATGAGAGGTTTTTGGACCAATTTTGTGTTCTCCATTCTTTAAGCACCGGTATCAGATAAAACCTAAATGATACCCATAGTGTCTGATTTCCACCTCGGTTGCCTAAGAAACTAATTGGTAGATGAGGCGCTTGCTAAAAGAACGGTGCCTAGTTAATGACTTCCAGCTCAAGGAGAATTGTGACTTTACTGACTCGTTGAATGTCTTTCAACAGTCGTGATGGAAAAGCTCTGGAGCGTTTCTTGCAGGACTACTTTGATGGCAAGCTGAAGCGCTATCTCAAATCAGAACCCATCCCAGAGAACAACGATGGACCTGTTAAGGTGAGATCAATTTTTTCTGACACTTGTAAGATTTGTACTAAACACTTTCTTTGTGTATCATGGACATGCTTTATGCTTTTAAACGTACATTAAGGCTAAAGGGGACCTATAATCATTTACAGCTGCAAATGTTTATTCTCTGCCTCGGCTGAAGTAGCTTTGACTCATTTAAGAAATGATTGTCATGCTGAGGTTTAGTGCAGTTGCCTAGTTTGTCCAGTCTGAGGTGAACTGCCTTCAAGTCAACTTTCTTTTTTAGTAGCTACATCTCATTTGAAAGATTTCAGCCGTGGATGTGTATAAATGCAGCGTGAGGATGTGCAATTATCCTGGATACTCTGCTTAATTCAGTGACAACGCATAATCACAACTCGTATAATCGGTCTACAACACCCCCCACCCCCTTCCTTTCACACTCTCACGTCATGTTTTGACAGCTTTAACGGAGATTAAGTTTTACTGTTGCCATAAAGCCTAAGGCCGTTTGTCCACTGCAGGAGCTATCAGTCAGATTATTCCTAACCGTGGAACCCAGCACTCTCGATTGGGAACAGCAGAACAAATTGGCAAAATGGCTTAAAAAAAAAAAAAAAAAATTAAATGGATCAATGAGACTGCAATTCTGGTGAGGTACAAAAGTAGTGAATCAGAGGTAAAAATGTTTTCAAAAACCAGAAAGATCATTCTGTTTATTTGGAAGCAATGATTTCATCATCTTACCTCATCTGGATTACTGAGCATGCATCAGCACATTAGTAGAAACAGACAATAGCCTTTGAGTGGAGGAAGTTCTGGGTACTTCAGGTGGAAAAATGGCTGCAGTACAGAACCAGCTCTAATACCTGCAATGTCTCTTCAGGTTGTGGTGGCTGAAAACTTCGACTCCATCGTTAACGATGACAGCAAAGATGTGCTGATTGAATTCTACGCTCCGTGGTGCGGGCACTGCAAAAACCTGGAGCCCAAATACACAGAGCTGGGAGAGAAGGTGAGGGAGCGATCCTGAACTGCTGCTAGTTCAGATCTTTCGCATTAAAACAATAACATGTTCTTAAGTAACTTATCCAGAACTTTAAGTCATGTGACCTCCTGGATTAGCTTGCTTTTTTCTGGCCTGCATCACCCAGCCTGTAGACTAGTCTAACGTGTGGATGTTAAGGTTTAGTGAATTGTCTTGGAAAGACTTAACAATTTGCCCTGTTTGTTTCTAAAGCTGGCCGATGATCCCAACGTTGTCATTGCCAAAATGGACGCCACAGCCAATGATGTGCCATCTCCATATGAAGTCAGCGGGTGAGTGCCGAGTCATTTAATGTGACGATAAGGCTTGGGCTGTTTTTAATTTAATTAAAATAAAGGTTTATGGTTCCCCCCAACTTCATGCTGTGGACAGTTCAAGATAAGCAGCATCAGTGAAAGTGAGCAGCTGAGTGTGGTGAATTGTTAAACTCTTTAGTAGCAGTCAAAGCAGCTAGAATACCTTTTTAATTTTACCAAAAAAAAGAGGGATGAGGAACGTGGGACAGAATTTTGCAATATTGCAGATTTTCTTTAAGCGGAACAGTCAGGACATTCTTGTACCATGTGAAGGTGTACAATTTGGGTCAGCCATAGGCTTCACGCTGAGTCCTGTATGTGACATTAGAGTGAATTTAAAGACCATATCTGTCTGCCATGGTGACAGAGCATACAGTATGTTCCCTTCAACATAACTTGGAGACTGTTCCTGTATTCTCTCGGCTATGTATCTTCATCACTGATAAAAGGGGGGGCAGAACACTGCACATGAAACTGCAGACATCCTGAAGCTTAATTACAGACTGATTATGATTAGCTGTGAGCTATGTGAGAAGCTTGACTTTGGGGAAAGGTGAAGGAACTCGGGTTAACATGCATGTGTGATTACCTGTGCAGTTTGATACATGAAATCATAATTTTTGTCCTCAACCTCTCCTAGATTCCCTACAATCTACTTTTCTCCAGCTGGACACAAGTTGAGCCCAAAGAAATATGAGGTGAGTGTCTGTTAAAGTGCCATTCACAGCGGCAAAGTGATGTCTGTGCTTTGCTGATGAACCCTCTGCTTTCGCTGCAGGGAGGTCGCGAGGTGAGTGACTTCATCTCCTACCTGAAGAGGGAGGCCTCAAACCCGCTGGTGATGCAGGAGGAGTCCAAGAAAAAGAAGAAGAAGAAGTCAGAGCTATAAAAGCTCCAAACAGGAACTCAGCAGCACCCCTCCCTACCTCCACCACCACAACAGGAGGATTGGGGAAGAAAAAGAACTAAATTATATTCCTCTCTTAGTGAACTACAGAATGGTCTGAAGTCAAAGACGTGGCCCTTCCTTTAGGTCCTCATTGCACTGGGAATGCTGTGGAAGGTGGAGAGGTTTTGGCCAGGGTCTGCCCAATATTTCAAAACAAACCAATTTTTAGGGAAGATGGGATGACTTTTTTTAAAACATGAGATTTCTATTTCCCCTGGTCTGTCTACTACACCTCAGGCTGATGCACTTTGGTTTGATACAGTCTGTCATCTGTCGCTTTAGTTTCTTGTTGTCATCAAAGGGGAATCACGGTAATGGTGAAATTTTCTTTTTCTTTTTTTTTTTTTTTTTTTTTTTTTTTTTTTTTTTTTTTTGTAACATGCCTTTGATTTTGTACATTTGGAAGGATTGTGAAATAAAAAGGCCCACAAAACCAAAATGAACTCTGAAGTCTTTTCTATCAACTCAAACGCTTGTTTGGCACACACTTAGACATAGTTGATCATTTTAATTGGAAATTAATATTTGGTGGCTAAATGTGAACAACTGATGTATCTGTAGTGAAACTGAGACTTAAGCAAGATATGCGTGTGTGTGTGTAACATCTTCAAAAACAAATTTGAGTTATTTGGTTATATTTGCCTTTAAATATCATTAAACCAGCCTCTCTTGGGCTGGAGAAAGTTATCCCAATCACAAAATATATAAATATAAGCCAAATAATCAGTGCATCTACATCATTTTTCTGATATTTACTGATCTGTAGCTTATTTTTTGAGGGGGGGAGGGGAACAGTTCACATGTTGGAAATCTAGATGTTAACCTTGATTAGAAGCTAAAATGCCACCACATTTTTGTAACTGGGGACATTTATAGTCCTACAATTAATAATGTGGGATTCACATGAGATTTATTTTAGTACCTCTCCACTGAGTGCAAAGAAAGGGAGGTGTTTTGTTAATGGGACATTTCCAAACCCTTAGGCTATATTACAGGTAGCTAATGCTAAAATCTGTATTCTTTTTTTCATGTGTTTTTGGCAGCGGTCCGAATTACGGACTGTATATAACCTACAAGATGAGATCAGAGAGCAGCTACAGTCCCATACAAAACTGATTGCTGATGTTGCTGCAAATAGCAAAAACCCAGAGTCTCTGGATGAAATGAAGACGCTGATGGATTCTCAGACTTTTCTTGTGTATTTATTTATTTTCATATTTGTCACGCTTACATGTTTTACATCATCAAACAAAGTTTACTATTAGACAAAGCATGTGTACGCACCCAACCAATAGGCGGCGACTCCGCATGTGAGTTTGTCTGAGTAAACTAAAGAAGAAGAGATTGAACCAATGGGATTAAAGAGTAGAGGCGATTTGTCCGGGCATGTTCAGACCCTACACGTGCTGTTTCAGAAGGTAACGTAAGATATTTTTACTCTTTTTCTCAATTCATTTCTGTTCTCGTGTTTGTCAGCGTTCAGAAATACGTCGTTTATGCTTGTAATCGATCTCAAGGGGCGTTGTCTTATTTTTAACGCGACTTTCTGCGGCTCGCTGGGGTTTTTCTTTTTATAATCAAACTGAGAGACAAACTGTGTTTAAATACGTGGAATTTCCAGCTGAATTTAGTCACATGCAAACTCTTTTTACATAAGCTTCAGTTTTTTTTCTGAAATGTTACCGGCTAGTGTTTGATTTCAAAAGTGCCAAGC